GCAAATTAATCTATTGTTTTTTCGAAAGTTTACGTAGATTTTATTATTTTATAAGTATCAAACAATGTAGAAGTTGTTTATTTTTTTTTTTGATAATTCAGGATAAATCTCATATCTATAGCCCAGACTAATCACTGGGGGATGTACAGTCCATAAATAAACTCTTTCTCTCCAGATATGTAAATGGGCTGAAAGCAAGAGTTCATATCTATGTGGATGTCTAGTATAATGTGATTTAGTTTTGCGCAGCAAGTGGATCGAACTTGAAACGTGTTGCCGTTTTAATTCTGTTATTTTACCACTCGACCATAGTATTCAGGACAGAAGTTGTTTATCAGAAAAAAAAAAAACCAAAGCAGTCGTAATATACATTCTCTCTAATTTGTTATGACAAGTATTTCATCAATGAGATCTTTTCGGTTTTCTTGTAGTTTTGAAAGTATATTGTTGGTTGTTAAGAACTAAGAGTGTGATTGGTTGCAGAGGAAAAGAAAAAAAAAAGAAAATTTTTTCTTTCTGGACCCACAACATTTAAACTAAAACATGAAGAAAAATTTCCTCTCTCTTTTATAGGTTGGAAGTTTTCTTCTACAAAAATAAAATTTTGTTTGATGAAAAAAAAGTTAGTGGTGGGGTCAGAAGAATTGAGAAGAAACTTTTTTTTTTTCTGCATTGTACACCAATCACACCCTAAGAAGTGTATGTGTGTGTATATGCATTGGTAAAAAAAAAAACAGAAATGATAAGTTTAGTGAATGGTCATATCAAGTGATGGGGGGAAACTGAGGATGCACTCTTTTGGAATAAAATAACCACAAAAATAAAAAGAAACAGGTAAGAGAGAGAGTGTCTGCTTAGCCATGAGTTGTGTTTCCATTTCACCACAACAAAAAGGCATTCACGTTCTATACCCAATTTGAAATCCCTTCTTTTATCCGCCTTCAAAATACTACCAATATTGTTTCTGAGAAAAAAACAAAAAAAAATATATAAGGCTCCGAACGGTGGTACGGGGCAGGTTAGCTGCAGAGCTATTCAAATAGTAACAAAA